AGCAGGCACAATTAATCTGGCTTTTACACAGAATTGAGCTAAAGATGACTTATGATATACTAGTCTCTAGAAATGATTAACATCCAACCTTCAATGTACTGTACGTCTATATGGGATGTTTTTGCTTGTCTTCCAACAGGTGTAAATCATTAGTCAGATTGCTTAGAAAAGTAATATTACACCTCTCGTCAAATTGACACATCACTCCTGTCTGTAGCATAAATGCTATTGAACGAGTTACACGCCAATTTAAAGGAGTAGTTCACTTTTAAAAAAACTTTTGCTGATAATTTACTCACCCCCATGTCATCCAAGATGTCCATGTCTTTCTTTCTTCAGTCGAAAAGAAATTAAGGTTTTTGATGAAAACATTCCAGCATTTTTCTCCATATAATGGACTTCAATGGGAACCAAACGGTTCAAGGTCCAAAAGACATTTTCAGTACAAACTGCAAACTGTTCAAAGGGCTTTAAACGATTCCAGACGATGAATAAGGGTCTTATCAAGCGAAACGATTGCTCATATAAAAAAAATAATACCAAAGTTTAAGTTTTATAAGCTCAAATGCTCGCCTTGCTCTGTTCTGTGATGCACGTTCTTGACTCTCCTGTTCGAACTCGTTCATCAAAATGAACAAATCTTTTTTTCGTGTCAATTGGTTCAGTCAACGAATGAAATGATGAAATGAGTTGACTCAGGAAAAGATTTGTTCATTTTGATGAACGAGTTCGAACAGGAGAGTCACGAACGCGCATCACAGAACAGAGCAAGCAATTATTATTATTATTTTATTAATTTAGCTGACGCTTTTATCCAAAGCGACTTACAAATGCTGTATATGTCAGAGGTCGCACGCCGCTGGAGCAACTAGGGGTTAAGTGTCTTGCTCAGGGACTAACAACACAGTCTCATACCAAGAAGTCATATAACTGACGTCTTGGGACTAGGGTTGGGTATCGTTTGAATTTGAACGATTCTGATTCCGATTCCTTGTTTCGATTCCGGTTCCTAACGATTCTCGATTTCGATTCTTTTAAGAGGCAGGGTCAAAAAAGTTTAGCTAACCTTGGTAACCAACAGCCTTTCTGAAGGAAATACTCCTTCTGTCACAAATACTTGTCACAAATTTTGCATTTTGCCGAGATTTCGTTAATTTTTAGAAAAGTGAAGCCACACTTTGGACCGCCGACGTAAGCTACTCATGTTCGACTCGCGCGGGTATGCCAACACTTCCGGTAGACGCTTCTTCGTTGGTGTTGTCTAGCGGTTTCTTCTTCTGCTCGGCGGACTGTGAATATCGAAACTAGGAATTAAAATTTTAACTTTTGAACGATTCCGGGAAAAACGAAAAGTTAGTCCCGGTTCCAATCGATACTCGATTCTTGATACCCAACCCTACTTGGGACGTCTTTTGACCATACGTCAACATCCGCCCTTAAACGTCGGTTACATGACGATCCCGGGCCGTCATACAACTGACGCTTTACCTTTAACGTCGGTTAGGTGACGGGGTAGGTTTAGGTCTGGGGTAGGGTTAGAATCCGATAACGTCATCTAACCGACGTTTAAGGGTACCCTAAAAAGGCGAATGTTGACGTATGGTCAAAAGACGTCCCAAGACGTCAGTTATATGACGTCTTGGGATGAGACTGCGCTGCAGGGACACATTGGTGTCTCACAGTGGATTCAAACCTGGGTCTCTCACACCAAAGCCATGTGTCTTATCCACTGCGCCATCACCACCCCACAATCCCCATGCATCACTCGTAATGATTTTAGGGAACAGTTTTGATATGCATGTCTCTTTAACAAAACAGGTGGTCTCTGTGTAACACCCCCTCCTTCCCTTTTCATTTTGATTTCAGTAACTCCATCCCCTCCTCCTCTCTCTCCAAACAATGCTTGAAGGACGGTCTCTCTCGTCCACAAGCACAAACTCTCCCAAACTGTGCTCTGTTTTTTTTCCCATCTCCCCCCCTCCTGCTCACTCACAGCTGCCAGCCTTCTTTGCAGGGAAAATCATGCATGTCCAAAAACAACTGATCACACTTTTTTTTTTCTTTTAACTGTAACCCTGTAAACCTCCATCCACTCCTAATTTGTTCATTTTCAGCATTCCAGTCCGCGAGGGTCCGGGGCAGTGCAGGGTCCCTGAACAGTATAATGTGTCTCTCTGTCTCTTTCACATACAGCTATAATACTAAACTGGGCTTCAGTCCTGTGTGCTGACAGACACGGATATTTCAGGAGGGAGGCTGAGCATTTAAGCATACTATTACTGAATGTCCATTGAATTTAAAAGGGATAATTCATCCAAAAAGTGAAAATTTTGTCATCATTTACACACCTCCATTTCATTCCAAACCTGTATGAATTTCCTTTTTAAAAGATTTTTCTTCTGTTTATACAATGAAAGTCAATGGGGTCCAATTTTTTTTTTTGGGTTGCACAAACATTTGTTGATACTAAATAAATTTGTGTAGAAAAGAATATAATAATAGATTATTATTTTGTATGATTATTTATATACACAATCAATAAAATATATACACACCCAGACATATTTGTATATATTAACCAACTTTTATGTTAGATGCGAAAATTCAATTTGACAGCACTTTAGTTTATGAATTTATTTATATAAAGCTGTAAAATCGCAATACAAATATTTTCAGCTGTCTTAATTCACATTCAAATATTACACAATCAAGCTTATATTTTATTAAAACCGCAGAGAGCCCTTAAAAGCTTCTCTTTTTTGACAACCAATTTATAAGCGTTTCTCATTAAAATTGTGGGAAGATGGTTGGCGCATGTTGCCTTCCCAAATGTACTTTATAAGCGACCCAAACTCAGAGCAGATGCAGAGATTAGTCTGATACGCGGAAAACACCAGATCACGAGCTGCTTGCGTGTAAAAGAACACGGCGCAGTTATCAAATCGCATAGGATGGCGCTGAGCCACATCGGGATTTGGGTTTTATTAAGATTAATTGTTTAGCCCTGCCATTGATTTTCATTGCATGGGCTAAAACAGTAGAGTAAATGACAGACTTCTCTTTTTTTTTGGGCGACGTATCACTTGATTTATATTTCCATTCTAGGTTTTGATACTAGTCTAGTTGGTGTACTAGTATAGCAGTGAATGAGTGACGGCTTGCTAGGTCACTAGCCTATAGGAAAACCTGGTCCTTTCAACAGTGAACAGACGGAGAGAGAGGGAGAGAGAGAGCTTGGATAGCTACTAAACACTCCAAGATGTTTGAACGCACTTCTGGAGACATAATATTCAGGGGTACATACTTTCATAGTGTGTAGCTGCACGCACACCCTCACACACAGACTAAGATTTGCCGCCACACAAGGGAATCTCCTTTGAGACCTCGGCTTCATTATGATCTGGCTTACCTCAGCATAGACTGGAGTGTGAGCTCTTTGTTGGCTCTGTCAGGGAGCAAGAAAAGGAGAGGGAGAGTGATAGAGAAAGCTCACAACCGTGTCAGTGTTGAACACTCAGGCCTGTCTGTGAAACCTATCCCTCCCATTTTTCCGTGCGCCCCCTTTTCGAGCCCCACTTCTGCACTACTGGAGCTAAACTCTTTTTGTTTTTATTAATGAATGCCGTGCTGTCACCCGTCTGCTGACACATGTAATGCTCACATTCATCCATGTACCCGACTGGCAGCCAGGGAACGCACACACACACACACCCCGTGTGGTTGTGACCTCATAACCTTGTTGTCATGCAGTATCCATCTGCCATCAGGACACAACAGGACAGAGGGAAAGTGTAAGACAGAGGAGAATGTCAAATGTCAGACCCTCCCTCCATTCTTACTTGTGAAAAACACTAATGACTTTTCCTTTCTCTTCCCTAGCCAGTACCATTCATTAGGACGGCCATTACTGACTCATACTTGCTCGCCGCTTTCATTTTATTGGCATATTTATGTTTTACGGGAGTTGTGAGAAATTAGTCGGTTGCTATGTGTTGTGGGATAACTAGACCTGCATGATTCTGGATAAATCGAGAGTCACGATTTTTCGTTTCAAACAGAGATCATGATTCTGAACTAAACCAAATAACGTAATTTTCCAGAGGTTTTGATCAAAATGTTACGGAAGCCCTGAACCGCTACGTAAAAAAAAAAAATCTTTAAAAAAATAATAAAAAAATTCTAGCATTTCGAGATTGAAGTCGAAATGTTTCGAGATTGAAGTCGAAATGTTTTGAGATTGAAGTCGAAATGTTTCGAGATTAAAGTCGGATGTTTCGAGATTGAAGTCGAAATGTTTCAAATGTTTCGAGATTAAAGTCGAAATGTTTCGAGATTACAGTCGAAATGTTTCGAGATTAAATTCGAAATGTTTCGAGCTTAAAGTCGAAATGTTTCGAGATTGAAGTCGAAATGTTTCGAGATTGAAGTCGAAATGTTTCGAGATTGAAGTCGAAATGTTTCGAGATTAAAGTCGAAATGTTTCGAGATTAAAGTCGAAATGTTTCGAGATTAAAGTCGAAATATTTTGAGATTGAAGTCTGAATATTTCGAGATTGAAGTCGAAATATTTTGAGATTGAAGTCGAAATGTTTCGAGATTAAAGTCTAACTATTTCGAGATTAAAGTCTAACTATTTCGAGATTAAAGTCTAACTATTTCGAGATTAAAGTCTAAATATTTCGAGATTGCAGTCAAAATGTTTCGAGATTAAAGTCGAAATATTTCGAGATTGAAGTCGATATGTTATGAGATTAATCTCGAAATACTAGATTTTTTTTCTGACTTTTTTTTACTGTTGCGGTTTAGGGCTTCCATGAAATGCTAATTGCTGCAGCCTATTGAAAATGTTTAAGTAATCTGAATGAATTGCTTTTTTATAACAATGAACCATTCAATGACTCACTCATAAATACTTCACTCGTTTCATTACTGGATGAATCAGCGATCAATAACAAGTATTCTTTAAAACATTCTTCTAAACCTCTTTTGTGTTCCAGCAGAAAGTCAGTTGTAGGGTTTGGAACATGTGCAAAGCTGGATTATGGATAGAGCCAGTGGGCCCAACGCCCCAGGACCTCGGACTGCCAGGGGCCTCCAAAGCCTCAGGCTGCGCACCCCAATACTGCCAAAGTAAGCTGAACACCAGGGTCCTCACAGCACAAGGCCAGCAGACATTCCCTCATTTCAGTAGAATACAAAACGAGCCGTGAGTACCTGTGTGCCAAACACGTCTCAGCTCATTGTCACTCATGTCTATAGAATATATATATGTTTCCTTTGTACATGTATGTGCGTATCATAATATAGATATTTTCAAAAGGGTTACTGCTACTTTAATGAGGTACGTGTTAGCTTAATGTAATGCGTACTTTATCCAGTGCCTGATTAGAAAACTCAGAAAATCGATTTATGATGCTATTTCGTCTGAACTGTTATATGTCTATTAGCATCTTTTACATTTTTACATGTACTACTGCTCATAAGTTTGTTATCGGCATGATTATTATTTTTTTTTTTAAAGTTTCTTATGCTTATTAAGGCTGTATTTATTTGATCAATGATACAATAAAACAGTAATATTGTGAAATATTATTACAGTTTAAAATAACTGTTTTCTTTTAAAAAAAGTAATTTATTCCTGTGATGCAAAAGCTAAATTTTCAGCATTATTACTCCATTCTTCAGGGTCACATGATCCTTGATATGCTGATTTTTTTTAACCCTGCTTGATATATTTTTATGGAAAGCGTGCATATTTTAAGAATTCTTTAATGAATATAAAACATTGAAAAGAAAAGCATTTATTTGAAACCGAAATCTTTTGTAACATTATACTTTCACTAATGTACAATTAAATGCATCTTTGGTGACTCCAAACTTTTAAATGGTATCTAGTGTATAGTCTTATATAACTGAAGCTACAGGGTGTGAAATCAGTCATTTTTAAAGGGGTTTTTTGTTAGCTTGTTAGCTTCTGTTTTGCAAGATGGCCACTCAGCACACTAGCAGTTAGCCTTGTAGCTTATCCAATAACCAATGCAAATGATATGTTTTTATACTGCTTTTTTTTTTTGATCAGGCATTACAAATGGCTACCCTATGGGGTCCAAGGCATACTCGATCGATCATGACGCAGGCCCTGAACATGAGTGTAAGTAACACAACAACAGAATTTTGTGTGATCTGTACCTTTAAAAGTGAATTTAAAGCATGTCCTCACCTCTATAAGATTTGGGTTGAGCATCTGAGTTGCAGAGATGGTGAGTGTAAGATCTCATATGTACTCGGCTAACCCATTAGATCATTTAACGGTTCGGCCAGTGATAGTTTGACAGTAGCATTCCTAACTTGCACAGTGTGTACCAGTATTACACTTCATAAATAACTATGCGTCCTTCCCGTGACACATTTATTTGTTGAAATTTGTATGATTCATAATGTGGAAACAGTGTTTGTAATGAACTGCCTTTTGATAAATTTTAATTAAATCCCATTAAACCCGGCGCTTTGTCGCATGTGTAAAAGGCTGCTGACAGTAGTTAATTAGCCTGTTTAAGCGCAGCTCGCTTTTATAATGCATTTTGCTTTGTCATCATCCCATTTCTCCCTGTAATTAGGCGTGACAGCGCGAGAGACGCGACGTGAGGGCCGGGAAGCGTGAGCACTAGATGGAGACAGGTAAGTGTGAGTTTTTTTTATATATATATATGGGCGCCAAGAGATTAGCTTACTGAGTACATACTACCATCCCATGCATTATATTTCCTCCTCCAAGCATAACCCCCACCGCCTACCTAATCCTCCTGCACTCCCCAAAAAAACTCATTTCCTCTCGCGCCCCGAGCAATGTGTGCTGCGCTAATTGCGCTAAGGTGGAGCGGCGCTTTGGTTTGCGTTTGTGTTATATTTCGCATGTCCGCTCAGTTAGGCATCGTTCCAGGGCTTCCTGTGCCACCTGGGCATCTTAAAGTCTGCCAGTCTGTCTGTACGGGAGACCCAGCTGGACCGAGGGCTGTGAGGGTTTGTTGGTAGAATCAGTAATGAAGATTTAGAGCCAAGACCATTAGCCGTCTTGAGCTTCAGACCCACCCAAGAGCCCCTAGGGTGCTCAACCTTGAGCTTGTTGCCCTCCAATTGTTCATGGCGAGATACATTTGTGTGCATGTGTTGTCATTGCAAATGTGTATGTGGGTCCTTGAGTTTCATGTAAGAGCGATTTGACATGCCACGTCGTTTTTAAATTTTGGTATGCAGCTGCAATTATCATCTAACAACACCTCCTCGTTCATTAGATAGGTGTGTGGGTAGTAAAGGTATGCGCTGTGGTTACTGTGAAGGTGGTCTATGAACAAACTAAGCCATTCCAGACTCACCGCCACTGAAATTCTATTGAACTTGATTCTAAACTTGACGTTTAGACTGGAATACTAGCAAAATGCACAGTATATACTGTACTACTGTATAGACCTTAGTCGGGGTAATGCAGATTCTTGACAAAAAATCCATAAAACAGTTTTGGAAGTTGTGAGTTTTTGGACCTTATCATCTTTATACAGTGCATGACATTATAAAGACTTTAAAGTTAGTACAGTAGTTCACCCAATCATCATTTACTAACCCTCATTTTGTTCCAAACCTGAATGAATTTCTTTCCTGTTGAACACAAAAGTTGATATTTTGGAGAATGCTGGGAACCAAACAGTTTATGGACCCCATTGACTTCCATAGTATGTAAAATTCAATATGGCATCTGCCCTGACTAAATTATAAACTCCCTACTATTCAAAAAAGACATGTGAAGCAGTATGAAATATATATATATATATATTCAAAGGCCAGACATCCTAGGTTTTGTAAATGAAATTACAGGATTCCAGAAGTTTTTTTTTTTTTTTCAGTTGTTGATGATTTACTGGAAAATATGTATTTTTTTTACTCACAATTCTTTCTCTATAAAATATTTTATTTTCTAAGGCCGTGTGTGCACCAAAGCGTTTTTCCACGCGCCTGGCATATGTTTTCAATTGTTTTCAATGGGAGCGCCGCGTTTTTTAAACGCCATGAGGCGCTGAGCGTTTTTTTTTTCACGCTGACGCGCCGAGCGCCCTGCGTTTTTTACTGGTCGCTGGGAGTTGAAAAATGTTCAACTTTGGTTAAAACACAGCGCTCATCACTGTCACTTTTTACCCAGCCGTCCAATCACAGTGGAGGAGGGGCGGGACTAATACCACACCGACCAACTGTCACAACATTCAAACTGCTGCGGATATTCTGTATCATAGCAACAAAACGTCTCAACGGAAAAAGTGGTGCGCTGCCAAAACTCTCTCAAGCGCCTAAACGCTAGCGTCTAGCGTTTTCAGCTGGATAACTATAAAGTGGATAACTATATTGTATGGGACACCACAGCAACCACAGCAATTGATTGGGAGCAGTTCGACTCGGCGTAGTAATATCATCACTCGTGAAAAGTCCTGATGATATTGCTGCGCCGAGTCCATAGATATATATGCGCCTAGTCGAAGTGCTCCCAACTTAGTTAACTCGTCTTAGTTAAGGGAATAACATAGTTTAATATATAAAAATGGTGGAGTATCCCTTTAGAGGTAGACTTCAACATAAACAGAACCGAGTTTTTTTAGAAGAACTTCACTCCTAAACTCCTGATCGGGGGCTTTCGTAAATATTAAGTTTATACAAGTTATACTTCAACTAAGTTTAATGGTGCAATGCAAAATATTTAGTTGTGTGTGATTTGTAACTTGGTTCCCATTTCATCAAAACTAGGCTAAGTTGTAACTTACTCACAGCTGGTGCAACCGGCCGCTGGGGAATTTGAATGCTTCGGCTGGTCTGATGCAAGATTCGCCATGTTGTTGATGGTTTGATTTGTTCAGATGCTGTGTGTGTGTGTGTGTGTGTGCGCAGATACTCAGAGATCAGAAGACACAATCTTCCCCTAGAGACTGATTAGTAAACCCACCAAATGCCATTAGGCCGAAAATGAATCTGACCACAATCCCTGTAATGTGTAATAAAGTGAATGGAGTGTAATGTTATTACAGTACAGACCAGACCGTGATATTAGTGGTCTTGGACACGCACTCATACACACGTCTGAATGTAATAGGCTCTCTATTCACATACTCTTTCTTTTATAGAGGACAATATAAAAGCAGTGACTAATGGTAATATTTCTGAGTTATGGTATTGGACACCGTGGACTGAGCGAGATGACGTTATGTCATACATTATATGTGTGTGGTGAAGACTAAACCAAAGCATTAAACCACGAAAAGAGGCCCATGTGACCTTTTGTCTGCCTGTAATAGACCACAATTTTTCCATAATATTAGCAATCAAGACCCGAATAGCTTGGCTTATTCTGCAAAGATATGAAACTTGGTCGTCATAAATATTCGGCGCTTTTGTATGTGAATACAATTGTGAACAATGACAATAATTCAGATTTCTCTTGCTGCGAGGAGCTGACTGTTCGGTGTGATTGCAGGAAACAAAGATTTATTTCCTTAACGTCACATATCAATGTTACGTCCCTGCGACGCACTGTCACCGCACCCCTCACACATGCGTTTAATTACAGACTAAATGAATAATTCATAGTTGAGCCTCAGGGCAGTAGATAATTATAACGATGAGGGTTATTCTGTTTATTTTGCTCTTTGTGTTAAGATGTCAATTCCTCCCGCTGCATTTCGAGCATTTGAGGAGAAAAGTCACGCTCTGTTTTTGAACCAAGGAGATAAGGTGCCAGGTAAAAGAAAACACCATAAGAGGATGATTTGCCTCTCGCACTTTATATTTTCCAAATTAAACTGATGTAAATAGACAGGTGTTAATAGACTGATCACGAAAACGAGTAGAGATGCAATGTACAGGTTCTTAATTAGTTCCAGCGTTCATTTCAGAGATTAGTCTGTCTCACTTTCAGAGATGCAATATTCAGCTACAAATATTCAATAATATTGATTAAATAACAATGATTAAAACAACATTATATAATGAAAATTTTAAAATACTTTAATATGAAAAATAAAATGACTATGTATATTTAAAGATACACAATTTTTCTTTTTTGTAAACATGATATTTTAAATAAACTATACAATTGTATATACACAGTATGTATTAGTACACTGTAAAAAAAGTAAATACTAATGAAAAAAGCAATGTAATTTACATGAAAAAGTTAGTTCAGGCAAGAATAAAAAAAAACTAGTAGAAATGAAAGTGTAAATATCAACTCCAAAAAATTAAGTACAAATTACTCAACTTTTCTGATACTGGGGTTCCCATCATGCACTGGACCTTGAATAATTAATTGAGTAATTTTGTCACTGGTTTCCAGCTGTATTTACACTGTTTTATCATGGATTTTTGTTGTCAGTATTAGTAACTTGCCATTTTGTGACATTTTTTGCTCAAAATGACACATTCAAACACAAAAACGACCCATTAAATGTTACCGCCATTGTGTTGTCTACCAAGTATTGAGGTCTTTGCATTCACATGATGTAATAAAAATTACTTAGATGATCTAATTAAAGCACATACTATAAATGACTAATAAAATTCAAGATTATTGTTTTAGTGAAATGCAATGCAAAGGAAATTTCAACTAAATCGATATTAATCAAGCCAAGTTAAAAATGACTTATTTTCTGTAAAGTTTACTTAACTCCACATTCCAAGTAAATTTAACTTAAATATTTCTAATCAAAGCTACTGATAAATAAGTTTAGGTTTTTACTTGGCAAATCTTTGTAATTTTCTGAGTAAAAAAAGCTTTTTTCAAGTAAACCCTACTCCAATTGTTTCTCAGTGTGGTCTAACGATACATGTATTCATCTTGAACTGTGAATGTAATATAGAATATAAAACACATGCTGATGCATAACTGAGCAGTAATGACTTGATAAATCATTCTGATTGGCTTACATAAAGCACAGACATGTCACTGATTGGCTGATAAATCTGGCTGTCATATATCATGTGTATATGTCCATTAGATCATCCCAGCTGGGATCAGGGCAGAGAAAGACGATGGGTGATGTTGGCTGTGGTGGGCTTTTAACAGCCGTTCAATATGTGATTGATGGCTTAAGTAGTTGTTATGACTCCATGAGTGACCTTAGGGACCTTAGAGGAACTGGTAAAGCTGGGTAAAAAAAAAACCCCTCATCATTCTTTTCACCACGACCAGCTATTGATTAGTGGTTTTTTTATGTCTACTGATCAATGGAGCAAGACTGCTCTATAAATCATTTAAACAAGATGTCAATCAGACTTGATCTATCAGGGGGCGCAGGAGGGGATTTTTCCTGTTCCCGAGGCCTTGTGGCCGGAGTGGGAGCGGGAGAGTGACAGGCATGGATGTTGTGGGTGTTAGGCTTGTCCAATCTAAACAGGAGCAGCATGTCGGACATGGAGCCGTCCACCTACACACACATATACCGCCACTTAATGACAACATCCCACCAATCAGCGTGTCAACGAGCTCTATTGCAGCCCCAGCGGTCTTTAACATGTCTGGGCCTGACCGCAACCTACGCAGCTGTCCGTCAAAAACCCAGGCCCCGCCTCCGTTCACCCACTGTTTGTAGAGTGGCGAAACGCAGTCTGAAGTGTGGCGCTATGCGGGGGGTGTTTGTTTGCATA